GTGTGAACAGTAATGAGTATAGAGAGATTAAGTGGGTCCTACTAGGTACAAAAAGAGGAGCTGGGTTCGGCAAGAATGCTTGGTATATACACTAAGTGTTTACCAAGGAACAGAATGCTCACAGAATCTTGGCAGTAGAGATAAATGGATAGGGTAAAAATGTGAGGAACGATGTACTGCGAAGACTAGCTATGCGGGATAAGATACCTGGTCCTGATGATTTGTATCTGGGAGGAAAAAAAGTCTGGAATTAAGAATCTACTGATCACTATGAAATCATTGCTGTTTGTCAGAAAAACCCATCTGGTTTACTAATGTCCTTCGGGGAAGGAAATCTGCCACCTTTACCTGGTCTGGCCTACATGTGACTCTAGACCAACAGCAATGTAGTTGACTCTCAAATGCCCTCTGAAATGGCCTAGCAAACACTCAGTTGTACCAATCGCTACAAAGTCTCAAAGAAATGACAAATCACCTGACATTGAACCAGGCACTGAAAAAGACAACGGCAAAAACAGCCCTGTCGACCCTGCAAAGTCCTCCTCACTAACATCTGGGGATCAGTGCCAAAATTGGGAGAGCTGTCTCACAGACTTGTTAACCAACAGCCTGACATACTCACAGAACCATACCTTACGGACCATGTCCCAGACACCACCATCACCATCCGTGGATATGTCCTGTCTCACCTGCAGGACAGACCCAGCAAGGTGGTGCACAGTGGGATACAGTCAGGAGGGCGGTGCTCTAGAGTCCTCAACATTGACTCCGAACTCCATAAAGTCTCATGGCTTCAGGTCAAACATGAAACAGGAGGCAAGGAAACCTCCTGCTGATTACCACATACCATCCTCCCTCAGCTGATGAATCAGTACTCCTCAATGTTGAACAACACTTAGAGGAAGCACTGAGGATGGCAAGGGCGCAAAACGTACTCTGGGAGGGTGATTTCAATGTCCACCACCAAGAGTGGCTCGGCAGCAGTACAACTGATCAGGTTGATCGGGTCCTAAAGGACATAGCTGCTAGACTGGGTCTGCAGCAGGTGGTGAGGGAACCAACAAGAAGGAATAACATACCTGAGCTCATCCTTACTAATCTGCCAGCTACAGTTGCATCTGTCCATGACAGTATCGGTAAGAGAGACTATTGCACAGTCCTTGTGGAGACGAAATCCCACCTTCACATTGAAAATAACTTCCATCGTGTTGCGTGGCACTATCACTATGCTAAATGGGACAGACTTCGCACAGATCTAGCAACTCAAGACTGGGCATCCACGAGGCACTGTGGGCCATCACCAGCGGCATAATTATACTCCAGCACAATCTGTAACCTCGTGGCCCGGCATATCCCCCACTCAACCATTACCATCAAGCCAGGGGATCAACCCTGGTTCAATGCAGAGTGCAGGAGGGCATGCCAGGAGCAGCACCAGGCATACCTGAAGATGAAGCATCAACCTGGTAAGGACACCAAACAGGACTACTTGCACGCCAAACAGCGAAAGCAACAACTGATAGACAGAGCTAAGCGATCCCACAACCAACAGATCAGATCAAAGCTCTGCAGTCCTGCCACATCCAGTCATGAACAATTAAACAACTCACTGGAGGAGGCGGCTCCACAAATATCCCTATCCTCAATGACGGAAGAGCCCAGTACATCAGTGCAAAAGATAAAGCTGAAACATTTGCAACTATCTTCAGCCAGAAGTGCCGAGTAGATGATCCATCTCTGCCTCCTCCAGTAGTCCCCAGAATTACAGATACCAGTCTTCAGCCAATTCAACTCACTCCACGTGATATCAAGAAACAGGTGGAGACACAAAGGCTATGGGCCCTGACAACATTCCGGCAATACTACTGAAGACTTGTGCTCCAGAACTTGCTGCTCCCCTAGCCAAGCTGTTCCAGTAAAGTTACTACACTGGTACCTACCCAACAATGTGGAAAATTGCCCAATATATCCTGTACACAAAAAGCAGGACAAATCCAACCCGACCAATTACCGATCATCAGTAAAGTGATGGAAGGTGTCATCAATAGTGCTATCAAGCAGCACCTGCTCAGAAATAACCTGCTCAGTGACGCCCAGTTTGGGTTCCACCAGGGCCACTCAGGTCCTGACCTCATTACAGTTTTGGTTCAAACATGGACAAAAGAGCTGAATTCCAGAGGTGAGGTGAGGTGAGAGTGACAGCCCTTGATATCAAGGCTGCATTCAACCGAGTGTGGCATCAAGGAGCCCCAGCAAAACTGGAATCAATGGGTATCAGGGGGCAAACGCTCCGGTAGTTGGAGTCATACGTGACATATAGAAAGATGGTCGTGGTTGTTGGAGGTCAGTCATCTCAGCTCTTGGACATCTCTGCATGAGTTCCTCAGCGTCGCATCCTAGGCTCAACCATCTTCAACAGCTTCATCAATGACCTTCCCTCATCATAAGGTCAGAAGTGGGGATGTTTGCCGATGATTGCACAATGTTCAGCACCATTCGTGACTCCTCAGATACTGAAGCAGCTCATGTTCAAATACAACAAGATCTGGACAATATCAAGACTTGGGCTGACATGTGGCAAGTGACATTCGCACCACACAAATGCCAGGCTATGACCATCACCAATAACAGACAATCTAACCACCATCCCCTGACATTCAACAGTGTTACCATCACTGAATCCCCCAATATCAACATCCTGGGCATTATCATTGACCAGAAACTCAACTGGACTCACCACATTAACACAGTGGTTACAAGAACAGGCCAGAAGCTAGGATTACTGCAGCAAGTAACTCACCTCCTGACTCCCCAAAGCCTGTCCACCATTTACAAGGCACAAGTCAGGAGTGTGATGGAATACTCCCCACTTTCCTGGATGAGTGCAGCCCCAACAACACTCAAGAAGCTTGACACCTTCCAGGCAAAGCAGCCCGCTTCATTGGCACTACATCCACAAGCATTCACTCCCTCCACCACCGACTCTCAGTAGCAGCAGTGTGCACTATCTAAAAGATGCACAGCAGAAATTCACCACAGATCCTCAGACAGCACCTTCCAAACCCACAACCACTTCCACCTAGAAAGACAAGGGCATCAGACATATGGGAACATCATCACCTCCAAGTTCCACACCATCCTGACTTGGAAATATACCGCTGTTCCTTCACTGTCACTGGGTCAAAATCCTGGAAATCCCTCCCTAATAGCATTGTGGGTCAACCCACAGCAGGTGGACTGCAGCAGTTCAAGAAGGCAGCTCACCACCACATTCTCAAGGGCAACTAGGGATGGGCAAAAAATGCTGGCCAGCAAGCAATGCCACGTCCCACAAATGAATAAAGACAAATTGCATCTAAGGTTGCTATAGGACGTAAAAATGGAAATAGCCGAAGGGCTTGCCATAATCCTCTGATCTTCTCACTAAGTGGGGGATTTGCCATAGGCTGGAGACTTGAAAGTATGGCTCCTTCTTGAAGAAAAGGGTAGTCCTAGAAATATGGGCTAGTTACTCTGACATCAGTGCTGGCTAAGGTTTCAGCAACAGAAGTCACGGAAGGGAAAGAAATCAACAAGCACCTGGAAAGGTTCAAGTCATTTAAGGATGGCCAGCATGAATTTGTAAAATGCAAATCATACATGATTAATCTCACTGAATTCTTTTAATAAGGTAACACTGAAGAATGATAAAAGAAATGCAGTGGATGCTGCATTCTGTTATCAGGAAAATATTAAAGATGCTACAACAGGGCACTTATGCATTTTTGCAAGGTAATCAGGCAGTCAACATGGTTTTATGAAAGGGAACTCATATTTGATCAATCTACTGGAGTCCTTCAAGAAGATAACACGTGCTATAGATAAAAGAAAACTGGCAGATGTACTTCAATTTCCAGAAAGTGCCATATCAAAGGTTACTGCAGAAAATAAAAACTCACGGTGTAGTGGGTAACATAACGGTATGCATATCTGGCTGGCTATCAGATAATATTTTTAAGACAAAGATAGATCAATTATTAGTAATTAAGGTGATGGAAAGGTTATTAGGGATAAGCAGAAATATGGATTTGAGGTTATAATCATACCAGATGTGATCTTATTGAATGGCAGAGCTGGCTTGAAGGGCTGAATGACCTACTCTCATTCCTTGTTCATGTGGTTATACAATGGATATAGATATGAGTACGCACAAGTAATTGAAAAGACAGAGCATCACTAAGTACAAAAATCAAACAAAACTTTGGTGTCTTTAGATCAAGGAAATTGGAATAAAAATGAAAGACACTGATGCTTCAGTTATACACAATCTTCATCAATCTAGACTCTAGGGGTTCTGTGTTCATGTCTTAGGCACCATAAATCATGGAGGAATTTTGACAAGTCTTATCAGAATGGTGCCAGATTTAAAGTCTAAATTCTGAATACTGCTTTCGTAAACTTAATCCCTACAAGATTGAAGATTGATCTGATCAACTGCATTAAAATAATAATGGGATTTGATAAGTGTAAATAAAGAGTCATTTGAAAGCAGAGATTTGCAGGAAAAAAGGAGCATAATTATAAAATCAGAGCAAGGCCAGTTAGGAGTGAAATCATAAAACTACATTTTTTTCCATAAGGATAGTGCAGTTCTCTTTCCCGAAAATCTGTGGATAATAAGGTATGATCAAGGCTGTAATGGACTTTATTTTAAGGGCATTAGGCACACAGATAATACAAAACAGGATTTTTTTTTGCATTTGTTCTTGGAACATGGCCATCACTGGCAAGGCCAGCATTTACTGGCCATTGCCAGTTGCCTTTTAGAGGGCAGTGTCGCAGTCCATTTTGTGCAGGCATACCTTTCACACTATTAACATATCTTACAATTTTCACTTATTTACTTGGCATTATATATTTAATAGAAAATTGTAAAATATATCTGGTAATTGAAAAATGGAAGCCATATTTCAATCGCATAAAATTGAACGCGCACTTGATGGTATAGTAATTTAGTGTACCTTGATCAACTTCACTTAGTAATGGCTGATTCCTGTGGAAAGGCTCCTCCACTTTATCTTCTGCATATTCATCACCTTCTTCCAGAGGTTCCTCTGCAAAGGCTCTTCTGTTGTAATCATCTCGTTTGTAAATGAACTGAGCAGCTGCAATGTTAAAGATATGCAGATAATTACATAGTTTTCAATGACATTGGGCAAGTGTGTGAATAAATAGCTTAATTTGTATAATTGTATAAAACCTGTAAATGAGTTATACAGATTCTAATTAAAACCATATGGTCATTCAAAACTAGAAAAATATATCTGCTGACTACTCAGTAACTCACTCGCAGCATCCTGTGGTTAAATATTTATTAACATCAGTAGAAATTGCATAAAATCTAAAGATCCACATTAAATAACTCTTAATAAGATTTGGTAGCAATCAAGAGATATCCTGAAAAACAGAAAACAGTTTGTAAAAAAAATTATCTATGCAGTAGCTCACACAAGACAGGGATTAAAGGGAAGCCAATGAAGAATGGATTTGTTTAAAGAGGATATTAAAGCGTAAATGGGAAATCATAAACTCATTAGCTTAGCTTCAGTTATTAGAAAATTATTAGAACAGACCACTCAAGCTAACCCATGTTACCAGCCAAAATAAGCCAGATATAGAGAACTCACAACATGGCTCTGGAAAAGAAATACATGTAATATCAATTTTGTTTATTGATTGAGGTAACTAGTTTTGTTTTAATCATTCATGAGCTGAGTAAATCACTGGTTAGGCCAGCATTTATTGCCAAACCCTACTTGCCCTGAAGAAGATAGTGGTGGACTACACTAATAGGTTACTAGATTAAGCTTTTTGTCTTCTGATCTGTTCTTTCATGTGATGTGGACATTGCTGGAAAGACCAGTTCTTTTTTGCCCATCCCTAACTGACCTTGAACTGATTGGCCTGTTCGGCCACTTCAGTGGAGTTTAGAATCAACCATAATGCCTTAGGTCTGCAGTCACATGTAGATCAGACAAGGTAAGAATGATAGATTTTGTTCCCTGAAGGAAGTTAGCAAACTAGTTTTATTTTAAAACAGCAATGATAATTTCACGATCACCATTCCTAAGACTAGTTTTCAAATTTAGATTTTAATAATTGCATTAAGTTTCATCATCTGCCACATGTTTAAGGTATATTGCATTCTTGGATTTTAAGAAAGTTTTTGACAAACTGCAGAACAATGTGAAGAGCAGTTAATAAGCAAATCTATCTTAATGTTCTCAATGAACTGTCTGCAAGTTTACAAATGACAAAGAAAATCTGTTACTGTTAAGATGATCAACATGAAAAACAGATTATAATCCAAAGAGATAAAATATATTTTAGATAAAATGGGGCAATGAAATCTAGCAGATGTAATTTCACATAGATAAAAGTAGCATCATGTACATCGATAGGTCTAATGCCAAGCATGCCATTGCTGGTCGAGAACAGAAATTTATCAAGTGGGAAAGTACACAAATTTCTGAAGGTACTCAACCTGCAACGTGGTTATCAGGGTTGCAGTCAAAACTCAAGCATTTCCAGACTACATGCTTGGATGCACATTGTATTGTGATCAATTTGGACTCCTGGACTGTTTGGTAAAACAAACTGAATCATAACAGTGTTATATGTGCAATTTATAAAATTATATTCCAAATTGTTATAATTGTAAGTTCAATTTTACTAGTAATGAGCTTACAGAGTACTCTTTGTTTTTCCTGTTTGTCTAATTTTCTTTTCTTGCATTCATGGTAGGCATAAGACCATAAGAAACCATAAAACATCACAGCAGAAACATCAGAACAATCGGCCCATCGAGTCTGCTCCGCCATTCAATCATGGCTGATAAGTTCCTCAACCCCATTCTCCTGCTTTCTCCCCGTAACCCTTGATAATCAAGAACCTATCTATCTCAGTCTTAAACGTATTCAATGGCCTGGCCTCCACAGCCTTCTGTGTCAGTGAATTCCATAGATTCACCACTCTCTGGCTGAAGTAGTTTCTCCTTATCTCCGTTCTAAAAGGTCTTCCCTTTACTCTAAGGCTGTGCCCTCGGGTCCTAGACTCTCCTACCAATGGAAGTATCTTCCCAACATCCACTCTGTCCAGGCCATTCAGTATTCTGTAAGTTTCAATTAGATCCCCCTCATCCTTCTAAACTTCAATGAGTATAGTCCCAGACGTTCCTCATTTGTTAAGCTTTCCATTACTGGGACCATTCTCGTAAACCTCCTCTGAACCCACTCCAGGGCCCGTACATCCTTCCTGAGATATGGGGCCCAAAACCACACACAATACTCCAAATATGGCCTGATCAGAGCCTTATTTAGCCTCAGGAGTACATCGCTGCTTTTATATTCAAGTCCTCTCAAAATAAATGTCAACATTGCATTTGCCTCCTGACTACTGACTCAACCTGCAAGTTTACCTTGAGAGAATCCTTGACTAGAACTCCCAAGTCTCTTTGCACTTCAGACTTCTGAATTTTCTCCCCATTTAGAAAATAGTCCATGCTTTTATTCTTCTTACCAAAGTCCGTGACTTCACACATAGCTCCAGGAGCAGTGTCTGCCAATTGGGCTCAACCGTGATATCACCCATTCTAACATACGTTTGCAGCAGCAGTCCACAGAAATTAGGTGAGAGCAATCTAAATAATGATTTACTTCATGACCATCAGCTCATTGAAGCCAGTTGTGGTATCAAAGGATAAGTCAACTGCCTCCTTTTATTCCCAAGCATAATCAATGATGTACATTTGTTAACTGATTTAGCAAGGAACTCCACGACATGCAAAATACTTTTGGCGAACTAACATCTTGAAAGCTGTTTATGTTTTTGTAAATTTATTTTATACTTTTTCCTACATTTTTCCGTTTTTGATTTGGGAACTTTGACAATTCAGGTGCTTAACTGACACCTAGGAGGATTACTGATATTTGTAAGATTACTACCCCATTCCTCCCAGAGTGACCATCTGACTTACACATTTTCTCCATAAGATCAGTTTTCAAAAGAAAATACCTCTTTGTAGGAGGAAAGGATTATAGGTTTCATGGGAGTGCCGGACCATGAAAAGAAGTGAAACTGGAAGCTCATAGTCACTCTGGCATTCATAGGATTTACTGATGAAAACTCATAATATATAAGTATTTTTGAGAACGTGGCTTCTAAAATGGAGGAAAAATGGAAAATTCATTTTCAGTTCTGAGATGGTCTGACCTTTTTCCCTTGGTTTAGGGAGTTTAAAACCAGAGGACATATTTTTTAAAATGAAAGGAGAAAGTTTTAAAAAGGTCATGATGGGCAACTTTTTTTTTTTTTTTTTTACACAGAGTGATTCATGTGTGGCATAAACTGCCAGAGGTAATAGCGGATGCAGGTACAGTTACAACATTTAAAAGACATTTGGACAAGTACATGAATAGGAAAGGTTTGAAGGGATATGGGACAAACGCAGGCAGGTGAGTCTACTTTAGTTTGGGAACATGGCCGGAGTGGACTAGTTGGACCAAAGGATCTATGCCGTGTGATTCTATGACTCTTGAAGGTGAAGTTAATGAAGAGTACCCAAGACAGTGAGAATAGTAGAGTATAAAACAAAAAGAATAAGAGCCTGTTTACCTCTCACCTAGAATACTATGTCCAGTGTTTAAGCTTCTTCACACTGTGAGCAATATACAAGATAGAGGAACAAGTAAGGTCACCAAAAGAATCAGTTTTAAATCCCTTATTTATCACAACAAGCTGGGACAGTAGCATCTTTTTACACTAAAAAATTACAGACTTTAATACTTGAACTGATGGAAGAACCAGATTACTTTGAATGACAATCTGAACTACATGGATTAGAAGAATCAAGGGACTGCGCACAGAATTATGCATGCATGGAACGTAGTTAGATGTTAGGAAGTTTCTCTTTTTGCAGAGTGTGACTGCCATTAAGTCACCAGCTTCTGTAGAAAATGTGAATTTGTTTGGATATAGAGTTAGAGATGTACAGCTTCTGATGTACAGGGGGCGGCATGGTGGCTCAGTGGTTAGCACTGCTGCCTCACAGCGCCAGGGACCCAGGTTCGATTCCACCCTTGGCCGACTGTCTGCGTGGAGTTTGCACATTCTCCCCGTGTCTGCATTGGTTTCCTCCGGGTGCTCCGGTTTTCTTCCACAGTCCAAAGATGTGCAGGTTAGGTGGATGGGCCGTGCTAAATTGCCCATAGTGTTCAGGGATGTGTAGATTAGGTGGGTTGCAGGGGTTGGGTCTGGGTGGGTTACTCTGAGGTTCAGTGTGGACTTGTTGGGCCGAAGGGCCTGTTTCCATACTGTAGGGATTCTATGATTCACCAGCATAGAAACAGACCCTTCGCTACAACTCATTCATGCTGACCAGAAATCCTAAATTAATCTAGTCCCATTTGCCAGCATTTGGCCCATATTCCCCTAAACCCTTCCTGTTCATATACACATCAAGGTGCCTTCTAAATGCTTTAATTGCACCAGCCTCCACCACTTCCTCTGGCAGCTCATTCCATATATGCACCACCCTCTACATGAAAAAGTTGCCCCTTAGGTCTCTTTTAAATCTTTCCCCTCTCACCTTAAAACTGTGCCCTCTAGTTTTGAACTCCTCCATCCTGGGGAAAATACCTTGTCTACTCATCCTAACTATGTCCCTCATTATTTTATAAACCTTTACAAGGTCACCCCTCAGTCTCCAACGCTCTAGGGAAAATAGCCCCAGTCTATTCAACCTCTCCCTTTAGCTCAAACACTCCAACCCTGGCAACATCCTTGTAAATCTTTTCTGAACCCTTTCAAGTTTCACAACATCCTTTCTATAGCAGGGAGACCAGAATTGTATGCAGTATTCCAAAAGTGACCTAACTGATGCCCTGAGATAACAAGGTGTAGAGCTGGATGAAGGCCCGAAACGTCAGCCTTCCTGCTCCTCTGACGCTGCATGGCCTGCTGCGTTCATCCAGTTCTACACCTTGTTATCTCAGATTCTCCAGCATCTGCAGTTCCTACTATCTCTCTAACTGATGCCCTGTACAGCCGCAACATGACCTTCCAACTTCTATACTCAATGCACTTTTACCAATAAAAGCAAGCGTACCAAACGCCTTCTTCACTATTCTTCCTACCTGGGACTCCATTCCAAGGAGCTATGAACCTGCACTCCAAGGTCTTCTTGTTCAGCAACACTCTCTAGGACCTTACCATTAAGTGTATAAGTCCTGCCCTGCCCTGACTTGCCTTTCCAAAATGCAGCACCTCACATTTATCTGAATCAAACTCCATTTGCCCCTCTTCAGCCAAATGGCCCATCTGATCAAGATCCCGTTGTACTCTGAGGTAATTGTTCTTTGTTATAACTAATATCCCTGTGCAACATTGGTGGGATATTCAGCATAATGGTCACTGATCTCCTGTTAATATTATGATCACCTTAAGGAACTCCCCAATTTTACTTCTTCCAGGAAACTGCATGACTATTGGTGGACAGGAACACAAAGACTGATGAGCGTAATAATTGGGACAGGCTCTTTGGACCATTTACTCTTTCTTTCGTCCATAAGGCTAGCTTTTTAATACAGTTTTTTAACTGAATTCATATTTCACCATCCGCCATGGTCAGATTTGAACTTACGTCCCCAGAACATTAGCTTCAGGTTAAGGATTAATAGTCTAATGACATTACCACTATACCATCAATTCCCATTGGAAACGCTCCTGGAGTTAAAAATGCTTCCAAAACTTCTATTCAAGATCTGTGCATCAGAGCCATTCTAAGTAATTTGTAAAAATAAGAATTTCGATACAAAGAAAAGTCAGTGATGTGCAAAGTCGCCTTCCTCAAACTTTAATTAAAAGGTTACTCATAAGGCTTAGCTTATATAGAAATTGCAAAGAAATAAGCGAACATTAACAAACCTGTTGCTGGAGAAATGCAGTAGTCATCCTCTACAGATTGGCCATAGACATCATCATCTTCAAAGTCTAAAAATAAACACCATTGAGCACTTTTTAGAAATTTTCAAATGATCTGCACAAATACTATAAATGAATAGACCACCCGGAAAATTAAACCAACTATTGATTTCCTGAATTTTGAAATAATAACAAATTGTCTGTTCAGATCCATTTCTACTCTCTAGTGATTCCCATTTGCAGATTTAATTTGAAAAATTGAACTAAAGGATAATTCTAGATAAAAACAATACCAGAAAAGCCTTGCCGTCGACATCTTGTCAGGATAGATAGTAATGAGCAATAAATGTGCCCTTGCCCTCCTCATCCATTTCCCATTAACAAATAAAATATGTTACTGAATTCAAATTTGGAAGGTCTGGAACTGGAAAAGATGCTATGTTGGGAGAAGCAGCATCAAAGCATGCCAACAAATGTGTTAAGTAAGTTTGGCCATCTACGAATGCTCATGAAAATTAAGGCGCACGCAAAAAAACTGGTTGGGTTGGAACAATTGAAATAATGTTTTCACAGAAGATAAATATCTGTCAACAATCTTAGCAGAAATTTCCCCAAATTAATTAGCAAACTAAAAAGTGAGGTCACATAAGCTGATCTGAAAATTGTGATACAAGTTGATCTGACACTATAACGTGCATTAACAATATCAATACAGAATTCTTTATGCCAACATTCACTCCTTTTGCATGAAAGTATTGTATATACTGAGATACAGTTTCAAGGCAGTAAGCCCTCAAGTGCCTCATCTACCAATAAAGAACAGTTAGAATATCAATCAAAAGGCATCAGTGAAGACTGATTTTATGCGAACACCCCACCTACAAAAGTGTACTTAAAAGCAAAGGATGAAGACCAAGAGCATATATCTTGAAATGCATTTCTACCAAGCCCAGTGACACTGAGGTACTGTTGTCTCACTACAAATCTGCCAACTCAGCACCAACTGAGCATTAATCAGGACCTTCAGGTCTCCACTGACCCATAACAAAGCGACCTGGATTTTGCAACAAAAGCAGAAAGTGTTGGAAAAACTCAGTAGGTCTCGTAGCATTTGCAGACAGAAAAACATGAGTTAATGTTTCGAGTCCAGTGACCCTTTGTCAAAACTGAAAATCATACTGATGACAGGATTGAGAGCTGAAGGGTGGGGACGGGAGTGGGATGGCAGTGAATAGAATTCAAGGAGACAGCAAATAGAATACAAGAAGACAAAGAGAGGGAAAAGGGACAGACAAAAAGAGATCAGAGATAGTAGGAACTGCAGATGCTGGAGAATCCGAGACAACAGAGTGCAGGGCTGGATGAACACAGCAGGCCAAGCAGCATCATAGGAGCAGAGAGGCTGATGTTTCGGGCCTAGACCCTTCATCAGAAAAGGGGGAGGGGAAGGGGGTTCTGAAATAAATAGGGAGAGAGTGGGAGGCGGATAGAAGATGGATAGAGGAGAGGATAGGTGGAGAGGTACGAGAGAGTTGCAGTGGGAGAGAGATCCCCTGAGGTTTGTTCGGAGGGAGGAGGGTAACTTCTTCAGGCTAGGCATCCTTAGAAGAGGCTTCGCAGTGGGGTTAAAATTGAATCAGAGATAGTAGGAACTGCAGATGCTGGAGAATCCGAGACAACAAGGTGCAGGGCTGGATGAACACAGCAGGCCAAGCAGCATCATAGGAGCAGAAAGGCTGACGTTTCGGGCCTAGACCCTTTGATTCAATTTTAACCCCACTGCGAAGCCTCTTCTAAGGATGCCTAGCCTGAAGAAGTTACCCTCCTCCCTCCGGACAAACCTCAGGGGATCTCTCTCCCACTGCAACTCTCTCGTACCTCTCCACCTATCCTCTCCTCTATCCATCTTCTATCTGCCTCCCACTCTCTCCCTATTTATTTCAGAACCCTCTTCCCCTCCCCCATTTCTGATGAAGGGTCTAGGCCCGAAACGTCAGCCTTTCTGCTCTTATGATGCTGCTTGGCCTGCTGTATTCATCCAGCCCTGCACTCTGTTGTCTCGGATTCTCCAGCATCTGCAGTTCCTACTATCTCTGATTCAATTTTAACCCCACTACGAAGCCTCTTCTAAGGATGCCTAGCCTGAAGAAGTTACCCTCCTCTCGCCAGACAAAAAGAGATGTTTGATGGTAAGTTGGCAGAGAGAGAGACATAAGTGCTGGGTGTGGTGTGAACTAGAAATGCAAATGGTTGTAAATGGGTTGGGTGTGTTGGGAGCAACCCTTACAAAACAAGACCTAGGGGTGTGAGGGGAGGGTAACAAATGGGGGAGGAGGGTGTTCACATTCTGAAGTTAAACTCAATGTTTAGTCCTAAAGGCAGTTAGGTACCCTGGTGGAAAAAGAGGATAGAGTTAGGGTTAGGATTCCTGCAGCTTATGTTAAGCCTCACTTAAGCACTGCTGCAGACCCAAGACAGAAACATTAGCCAAGAAGCTCAGGGTGATTTTTACAGAAAAAGCGTAGGTGTCAGGCAAAGCCGTGACCCAGTCTGCATTTCATCTCCCCTGTGTATAGTCACCAATGAAACAAACTTATTCGTCATCCATTATGATTACAGCTGCCCACAGACTTTTTATGGCTTTTTGAGCAGCAATTAATCCTCTACAAGGGATCAGAAACTGAAGTTCAGCTGTCAGCTGGGGCTCACTTGCCAACACTCTGCATTGAGTCAATCTGCTGTGTGTTTATTCCAGAGATCAATTGAAAAAGACTGCAGAAAGCAAAAAGCACTTAAGGATTTGGGGGTCCTCATGCACAATTCACAAAAAGCTAGCATATAAATTCAGCAATGTAATAAGGAAGGCACATAGAACGTGCATGGAATATTTCAAAGGGACTGGAATATAGCTAAAACCAAACAAGACATTAGTCAGAGATAGTAGGAACTGCAGATGCTGGAGAATCCGAGACAACAAG